AGATGCAGAGGATTTGACAAACGACAGATCTAACGAGGTCGTCTCAAGTACGTAGCTAGTCGTGATGATCGTGAGCACTTTCGATCCTTTTTCTTCCATTGGCGCGAAGAAAAGGAGAGGAGCAAGATCAAGATCAGCTCTCAAGATCAAGATCAGGGACCGCACAACTTTTCCATATTCATTCATTTTTCACCTTTTGAATGTGCCAACGTTATGCAATAATACATATTGATCAAAATTGGCAATAAGATCGCTCTGGCAAATCAAATCGAATGTTTAAATTTCATTTAATAAATTAATATTTTTGTCAACGAGATGCTGGAAGAAAAAGAAGAAATTCGTTAATTCATTCGTAACATACTGCGATCTCTGACTAAAAACGTTCTCCAGAGAACAGTGCTCCAACGTTCCTTTTCACGATCGTTCGTGCGCACGAATCGGTTACGCTTCAGTCGAAAGTAAATTCTCCGCGATATATAGAACTGCACGTATCAGGTTGTGCTCGCAACTGTAAAGCATATTCCGTAGAGAATTATATCCTCGATGGAGGAAAAGGTCCAATTGTTCCTCTTGAACAGGAAAAATATCGAACGAGAATACACCATATTTCAATGAAATGTCGAAATTCGTGAAAAGAGAATCATTAGAACGCGAGTTGCCAATGATTTCCATACTGCAACTCCGAACTAAACGCGAACCATATTATATTGCGCAAATATATTTCACAGGCGAGGGTGCGCGTATGTACGCTTTCTTTTAACTTCAGTCTTCAACAAGAGATATTAATTTTCAATTTTTCAAAAAAGAAATAGAAAAATAGGAAAGTAAAGAAAGAAATTTCTCGGAGGCACGTTGCTCATGCACCACTGATCCTGAGGGCAATTTCCAGCGCTTGTTGTCCGATTTAAATTTCCGTGACGTGCTCGAGAAACGGATCACCGATCCTCGTTACAAAGAAAAGATTATTTCGGCTCGGTCCGCTCGGGTAATCCGGTTTTATGTAAGAAACGCCGGGAACATCTGGAAGTTCACGCGCGTGAAAGTGGACTACCAAGTTACAAGCAACGGTCAGTTAATTCAGCGGCCGCTCGGTTAATATTCTGCAACTCTAGCCGGTTCCCGGATCACGGAACTGTCGAGCACGCCGATTCAACGACTAACTTTTTTTCTATTAACTAACCGTGATTCGAACGGGTTTTCCATGCGTTTCTCTGTTACGACTGCTCGCAGAAATATTTCTAATCTAACACGTATCGACAATACCTTCTTCTTTCACACAAGCCACGATGTCTCAACCGATGAAAATTATTTTAACTTCGCATTCTACGCTCCTTATTTTCGTTCGTCGAACTCGAAGATTGTTTGCATCAAGTAACAAGTCGAAGCGCGAGACTACCAGAAAGAAATTTAAGAACGCAATTTAAGAGACAGATCTTGTTTTCCTTTTGTTCAGTTTCAGCACGAGACGACCTTGCCAGGTTTCATTTCAATAGACGACTCATGCCATTTTCCCATGGCAAGACAAAAGAGATGAGCTCACCTTGCTACTTCTTAGACGCGTCCGATCCAATGTTTCATTTCCAATTCACCTGGCTTGTCCGTGGTTCCTCCTACACCCTCGGAGTAAGTCAACGAGTGCCTCTCGGCGGGCACTGGTTATCAGAATCAATCACAAGGATCACGTTTGTCAAATACGTATATCAACTCGGCTTGTCGATTTCCACGAGTCCAGAAACCAGGAGAGTTTCTCGGAAATCACTGAGAACTGCCGGTAGGATCCAAGTGTTGGCGGTACACGCGACTCGATCAGGTCAGGTGGTAACGATCGACGCGCATCTTCGCGAAATATTCGCACTTTGCACCGGTGGCACGTATCGGGACGTTAATCGACGGAATGCTCGGAGACAAATGGAAGTCGATCGAACGACTGCCGTGTCAAAAAACCTGCCTTTAAATGGGGGAGAAAAAAAGTGTTCGCCCGATCATTTTCCCTTTCGCCCG